AACATATCTTGCAAGTGAGAGTTATTGACGGCAGATGCTAATGCGGCTTTCTGTTGAAACTTGGCAGGTAGTCCAGTGGACAAGGTCAAGCAATCAAGTAGCAGCCAAGGCTGCTCCGCCCGGTGTGGAGGCTCCTGCCGTCGGCCTAGAGGCCGCTACTGTGTGATTTGAGGCCTCAAACGTGACGCTTAAGACTCCAGCTGTTACCAAATCTATTGATGGCTTAGAGGAGGCGACATTCTTGCTGGGTGTGGAGCCAGGGGAGGTAGTTTCGATCGCAGTGGCACAACAGGGTGGGAAAGTGGGAGCAGAGGAGAGCAGCGGGTGCTGCAAGATGAGTCGTAGTGTGAGTAGCTGCAGCACCCGTGATGCGTGCCTCATCTCTTGGGGTAGCTGCAGCTCCTCCTCCTCCTCTGCTCCCTTTAACTCCTTTGCTGATAGCTATGGCAGCAACAGCAGGAACTTCATGAGCGCCGAGGTTTTTCGAGCAATGGAAAGGGATGGAGTATGGAGACGGCAGATTTTTGGCAGCCAGTGGGAAAGTGTGCGTTTTCAAATCAGTTGTTTGGGGATGCGAGTTACAGCAACGTCATATTTGATGGGTAGGGGAGTGTAAGTAAGACGATTGGGCGAGGCTTGAGCAGTAGTGGGAAGGGATGGAGGATGGAGACGACAGATGCTTTTGGAGCCGGTGGGAAAAGAATTTTTTTCAAACCAGGTGATAGAAGATAATGAGGAGGATGATGAGAGTTACAGCACGCAAGGTTTAGGTTTGGGTGGGAAGGAAAGTGTGTGCTTTATATTTTACAATGAAGCCATCCACGCGCTTAGTTTCGTGTGTAGCAGCCCTATGCATTGTAGCGAGGTTTTTGCTTACCGCATACCGAAGCTTTGGTATTCGCCAAATACACTCCAATAGTGCTCTTCGGTATGCACTGTTCAACACTGAACCGAATTGGAGGGAAGTGACGACATCGCGCAAACGAGTATGTGCAGCTGTCTGTTGCGAGCACCTGCGCAACTACTTCTGGACAGGTAGAAAATGCACCTAATGGTATTTTCCTCTGATGGCGTTTTCACCTGGCGGTGCCAACCTCGAACCACATGCTAGAGTAGGTGCTTGCACGTTCTCCTTGAACAACGTTCCACATAGACAACATTCTCGTAGAACGTTCTCGCACACGTCACTATGTTTCAGGTTCATGCTGTTTATGATGTAATCAATCACTTGATCAACTACCTTCCTTTCGTTACTGGATACCAAGCCTATTGCTGCATACCAATCATACTGTTCTCAGAATACCAATATCCGGTTTCCAGCAAGTCCCTATACGCAAACTCGCGCTTCACTTACCGATCGTGCAACTTTGCGCCTAGGCTCTCCCATAATCGCCAATTTTCCGCATGGTGCGGTGAGCATGGATCGAACACACAACCTTCAGATAGCCTCGTATTTAATCTCGGGCCGGCAGCCATTTCTATTCCGTATGGCCGACGAGGGCGCTGCTACGGAAATTATGGAACTGGAAGCATAGGTGGCTGCTTTGCGGGAGCGCCACAGTCGTGGCGAAATCAGCGACGCGGATCTGGAGCTGATGATCGAAGAAGCTCGTTCGAAGTAGGCTCGTTCGAAGCGCAAGTCCTTCTGACAGCTGCTGCAGCAAGTGCGCGTAGTGACACGCATTGGTCGTCGCAATCCTGCACGGCCAAGTGGTGGAGGACCCTCGTGGGCAGCAAATGCGTCAACTGTACGCGATCGTGGCATCGCTTCGGAATACAGATACTTCAAGTTCTCACCGGACAAGATCGTCGTGCCGAAACAACTTGAAGGGCGTCACATATTGACAACGTGGGTCTAGTCCATTAAGCCGCAGTTGGAGATTGCACAGCTGAAAAAGTTTGTTGACGGCACGGTGGAGGTGCCGCCTGAAGATGACGCTAAGCGCCGCACAAAGTTTCATTCTGCACAGCTGATAACGTTTATGGAGATCTCAAGGTGTTGCTCGCCGGTCGTCCAAGTTGCATTGAGGCCTTGCCGTCTTTGGGTGGGTGCAGGTCTTCAAGCTTGGCAATTCATTATGAAGACCTACAAGGCAACGGATGACCTTTACATTGGCCAACTCGAACAATGCTTGACAAATCTGGAGATGGGGGAGCACAAAAACGCAACCGCATAGTGCAATCATGCACAACAAATTCTTGTAGATCTGCGTATGGCTGGCGTTGAGTATTCAATGTCTTCGTATGTCATGCATTCTTCAAAGGTCTTCCTGCAAGCTACAATCTCCTTAGACGCATGGTGATACTCCCAGGTGTACGGGAAGAGCTTGACGAGGATACGATTTCAAGCTACATCACTGAAAAGGAGTTCACACTTGAAGCTGAGTGGCGCAAGGAGCAGCTTCTTCCTCAAGTCAACTACGTCGCGTCGAAGCAGCAGAAGCAGAGGCAGCAATAGAAGTGGCGGAAATCACGCGGAGGGGGCAAAAATAACCAACAAGACAAACGCTTGAAGACGACCAAGAGCGACGAGCGTTCCGGTGGTGGTAAGCGCAAATCTTAACGGGACTGCTTCGTTTGTGGAGATTTCGAGCATTTCGCAAACCTGTGCCCCGACCGCGTCTACAAGGAGGCTGGCGTTGGTCAAAAGCGCAGCTGCCTGAAACGCAGATTCGGCATCGTCATAGCGCACTAAACGCTCTTTTCCAGCTACAAAAAGGAGGTTGGAGCTCATTTTTCTCTACACGCGTCTCCCATTTTTCAAACAGCTCATGTAACACTTGGTTCCTCGAGCTCATTTCGAGTTCTCCGTTCAAACTGGTGAGAACTCCCTCTGTAACCAGAGGTGTGTCACCTGACTCTATTAGCCGACATTCTCAACCACAACCGCTCGACGATGGCCGCTACACTGACACTTAACCGCGCAAACCACAACGTCTTCAACGACCTGAATATTCCCGATATCGATCGTAACGCCCGGGAAACGTCGGGCGAGCGTCGCAACAAGCGCTGGCAAGTCGGCGAAACGTCCGCCCCGATCGCCGTTGACGTGCTGCTGGGCGGGCTTGTGGTAAAAAGCCTACAAAACGCTTAGCAGTACCAAGAGCACCCATCCGCGCCTATGGCGACCAGGGCTAACATTTGGTTTTTCGCCAGCTCGGACGTTTTGGCTCCCTCACGAAAATGCCCTGAAAAAGCAAGGTCGGACTAAAAACTGCTTGAAAAAATCAGGGCCTTAAAAAAAATATCCCTTGTTTGCGTTATTCGACAGTTCTGCAAGAATGGACGGTTCTGACAAAAGCTACTGGTAACTGTGTGTGTTGGTGAACTTGTGCTGTAGGTCCACTTCTGCTGCTTTGGTGTGAATCTCTGCTCACAGAGAACAAATACGGTACACAGATGCCGAATTTGACTAAGGAACAGAGGGGCGGGAGGGAAGCATTCACATGTCTAGGAAGAGGAGGAGAAGTTTGCCTGTGTTGAGGGGGATTGGGCAAGGTTGGGGATGATTAGAGCCCTATAAAAAATTTCCGAGTCCTTCCAGGGAATACTCGAATTCCTCAGAGCCCGTCCTGGAAGAGCTCGGATTCAGTCCAGAATGAGCATTTACCCTGATAGCCTGAGCCCTGGTGGCGACCGTTGTCAGAATATTATGCTCTAGCCTGCAGTGGGGTGCTCTATAGCGAGTACAACCCTTCTAGGGTTAGCTATTTGTACCACCATTGTTGCTAGTGCAAACCTCTCTCCTTTTCATTCTTTCTTGCCTAGCTTGTTTCGACATGGTATCAGAGCAGGTCGACCCCCTTGGGTCGATCCTGTGGGTGGGCCCACCACCTAACTGCTTCCGCTGCTGTTATGCTTCTCGCGCGCCTCGGGCGTGCGTCGTCTTCTTCCTGCGGCGAAAATTTTTAGGGTTTTCATCCCGCCGTGCGCTCGGGGCGCGCGGCGGTTTTCTGCCCGCCGTACCAGGAGGGAAAGACCCAGTCAAGCCAGGTGGGCGGCGCAGCCAGATTTCCTCGTGCAGGCTACCCTGTAAGAAGGCTGTGCTGAAGTCCAGAGAGTGAAGCTCGTAGTCACGCTGAGCGGCAACGTGCAGCAGCACCCGAAGAGTGGTCATCTTCGGGGTGGGGGAGAAGGTCTAGAAGAAGTCAACTCCCTCTCGCTGACTGAAGCCTCGAGCAACGTAACGAGCCTTGAAGACATGCGGAGAACCCGGCGGCCGCTTCACCCTGAAAATCCACATGCCATCGACGATGTTCGCCCCAGGAGGGGGAACCTCATCGACGTAAGTGCCTGTGGACTTCCAAGATGCCATCTTTGCGACCATGGCAAACTGCCACTGAGAGCAGTAGGGACCCGAAATCGCCTCTGCGTAAGAGCGCGGGGTCGGGATGTCTGGAGCATCTTGGTCTCCCTCAGGGGCAAGCAGCATGGCCACGAGATGAGGTACAGTAGCCGCAAGACACTCAAGGTCCTCCTGCCTATCCTCAAGGACGTTCCTGCCAAGAGCACACTCACCCCCGACGGACGGAGGACAGACAGACTCAGACTCAGCAACAAGACTAGCAGCGTAGTCTAGACAACAGGCAGCAGCAAAGTCAACAAGCTCAGCGACTAAAGCAGACGCAGCAGTGGACTCAAACGAAGGGTCAATGACAAAAGTGGCAAGCAGACGCGTGACAGTAGGGTGAGCAGCACGAGCGCGGTCAGACTCAGGGTCTGGAACGTCAGGCAGAGAAGACGCAGGAGGGGACGGCAGGGGAACACGCTGTGGAGCAGAGGAAGGACGAAGGGCCATGAGGTGCGTGCCGGGGACAGCCGGCGGACGCTCACGAGGAACACGACGACTAGTACGACCAGTGCGAACAGTACGAACAGGTGAGGCAGGACGAGACGCAGGCTCACGACGCTCAGCAAGACCTCTTGACTGCTCAGTGTAAGGAGAAGGAGCAGGCAGCGGTGAGCAAGGCTGGAACGGAAGACTAGTAGAAGAGGGGAGGCTAAGAACCTGGCGAAGCACGGAATCTGGCGGTGGCAGAGACGACGGTGACGGCGGAGCGAAGAACAGTCGCGGCTGTGCAGTGCCACCAGCACCAGTAGCTCCAGCACCTCCAGCAGCTCCAAAACCTCGAGCTCCAGCGCCTCCAGCGCCAACACGTCTAGCAGCTCCAGAAGCTCCAGCGCCAGCACCTCCTGTACCAGCACCTCCAGTAGCTCCAGCGTCTCCAGCGCCAGCACGTCCAACAGCTCCAGAACCTCAAGCGCCAGCACCTCCAGTACCAGCACCTCCAGCAGCTCCAGAACCTCCAGCTCCAGTGCCTCCAGCGCCAGCACCTCCAACAGCTCCAGAACCTCCAGCTCCAGCGCCTCCAGCGTCAGCACCTCCAGCAGCTCCAGAAACTCGAGCGCCAGCACCTCCAGTACCAGCGCCACCAGCAGCAGCACCCCCAGAACCGGCACCTCCAGCCCCAGGGTCTCCAGCCTCCGTGTCAACAGCAGCACCTCCAGGTCCAACAGTACCTCCGGCCCCAGCAGCTCCAGTACCTCCAGTACGAGCACCTCCGGGACCAGCGGATCCAATAACTCTAGTAGACAAAGTACCGCCAGGCTCAGCATGCTAAGACTCAGCACCCCCAAAACCGGCACCCCAGCTCTAGTAACGTCAGAAGAAGCGCCTCCAGTAGCAGAGTCACCAGCTCTAGTGCCTCCAACGCCATCGCATCCCGCAACAGGCCCCCAGCTCTAGCAGCACGACACTGACGGCTAACGTACCACTCACGCAGCTGCTGTGTGGAGAGAGGGACACGCCGACGAGAGTGCTGCGGCAAGGCACCAGCGGAGCGACTACGGAGGCGGCCGCTCCAAGGAGACTACTCACCAGGCGCCTCAGTGACCCCAGGCGCAGCACCCCCAGACTCAGTACCCCCAGACTCCACACGCCCAGGCTCAGCACCTCCAGGCTCCGCACCCTCAGGCTCAGCACCCCCAGGCTCCTCACGCTCAGGCTCAGCACCTCCAGGCTCAGCACCCCCAGACGCAGCACCCGAGCAAGACTACCCCCAGCAGGACCTGAGTCACCAGTGACCTCAACCGGCTCAGTCAAGGGAGGAGGGTCTACCTGAGACACACCTGAAGGAGCAGGACCTGGAGCGGGGAGGGGGTCTACCTGGGGAGGACCTGGAGCGAGAAATAGCGGCTGGGGGGGGAGAGGGGCAGCGCGGTAGGGAAAGAGACGGTAAAAGGGGACCGACTCGTCAAAGGTGACGTCCTGAGACGCAAAGACACGACGCGAGGCGGGGTCGTAAAACTGCCAAGGGGGAAAGCCAAGGAAGACGCAGGGAATGGCGCGAGGGGAGAGCTTGTCCACAGTGGTATTGCGGACAAAGGCACGAGCACCCCAGACCCGGAATCGCGACGCATCGCCAACCTCCCCCGTCCAATGCAGTGTGGGCGAGGTCTCCAGCACGAAGACACGGGGCCAGAGGTTAAGCTGATGCGCGGCGTACCGGACCGCAAACGGCCACAGAAAGTGGGGAGCAGCCGCATGGATCATGGAGGTACGAGCAACCTCCGAGAATAAGCCAATGCGGTGCTCAGCAACCCCATTCTGCTGCGGAGAGGTCGGAAGCGTGAACGACTAGCGGATGACATGCTCCTCACGGAAGGCTCGCAAGAGGTCGGAGGTGAACTCACCACCTCTGTCAGAGTGCAGACGCAGGACAGGAAAGTCTGACTCGAACCACTTGCGGAGCTGGAGACGAACAGCGCGGATCCAGGGGATCAAAACAGCAAGGACGTCCCCCTTGCGCTGCAAGGGGAAGACCGTGGTGTAACGCGTGTAGTCGTCAGCAGGAAGTACCGCTCACGGCCCGTCCCCTGGACGCGGGCTGGGCCCCACATGTCCAGGTGGAGAGTCTGCAGTGGAGCCTCTGTGGGAGGGAACAAGGAGGAGTGAGGAGCGGCGCACTGCCGCCCCTCGACGCAAGGAATGCAGGGCGGCGCAGGCAAGGGAGGGAGGGAGGGCAGAGACCTGGGAAGACCAGAGACCAGGGAGCGAGAGTGCAAACCACGAAGGCGAGGCAAGGAGGGGTGACCAAGGCGGTGGTGCTAAGGGAGAGTCTAGTGCGACAGGCGGCAACACTCACACTAGGTAGCTACCTGGGCGGACGCGTACAACTGAGGAGACAAAGGGGCATAGCGCGACACAGTGGTGAGGGTGTACAGACTGGACCCAGGCGCACGTGTGAACGTGGCCAGGTGGCGGCCAGTCCGAGAGCAAGTGCAGATCATCACACGCTGTCCTCCGGGAGTAAAGGTGTCAACCCAGTGATCCTGAAGGACGGCGGTGCTCACCAGGTTCGTAGAGAACGAGGGGAGGTGGAGACCTGACAGCTCACCGGACGGGACCGCCGGACACGGAAGCACTGTGGAAGAGCGAGCAAGCACTGGACCCCCAGAGGGGTCAGCCAGTGAAACAGGGGCAGGTGCAGGGAGGGGAGTGACTGTGGTACTGTCGCGAAAGAAGCAGCGGGAAGCACCTGAGTCAAGGGTGAAGGTGTACAAGGCCTCAGCAGGCGCAGTACCAGAGAGAGCAGACTCACTAGCACCTAGAGCAGCAGCCGCTATACCAGGGTCAGGGGGCACACACAGGCAATAGTCACCCTCAGTATTACCAGTCAGAGCATACATGGCAGTAAGGTTTGTGTCATAGTCTAGAGCCAAGATATCCACCTTGTTGCGCAGCAGCTCTAGCCAGGGGGGGAGCTCAGCCTCGTCGCCAAACACTGCACGCCAGGCGTCACTCAGACGGGCGAAGCAGCGAGCCTGTGTGTGAGAGAGCGTCCCGCAAGTCTGACCAGCCCGATCACCTGTGCGAATGACGTACAGGCAGCGGGCAGGACTCCTAGACCCTCCACTCTGAGCGTACCACTCATGAAGCTGCTGGCGCGTAAGGGTCTCGCTCGGACGTCACCAGGCCCCCACTAGAAACTCCCAACTGACTAGCCGCACCACGACTGCTACTACTACCACCGCCACCATACCTACGAGCGTACCACTCACGAAGCTGCGCGGGCGTAAGGGTCTCGCTCGGACATCGCTGCAGCTGCATCTGGCCGCCGCCAGAAACTCCGTGCCGAACAGCTCCAAAGCGACTACCACTACGGACGCCACCGCCATCACTCCCACCGCTGCCGTGAAGAGAAGTCATGCGACCAGCAGGGTAGGCCGTAGGGAAGGAAGGGTGGCGAGGATGCACTAGGGTAAGTCAAGGCTGCTCAGGGAAGGGCGGCTCGCGGCCAGAGTAGGACAGCGTGCGGCCAGAGTAGAGCGTCGCGCGGTCAAAGCAGGGTGGCGAGCGGCCAGAGCAGGGTAGCACGCGGCCAGAGCAGGGCGGCGCGTGGCCAGAGGAGGGCGGCGCGCGGCCAGAGCAGGGCGGCGCGCGGGTGCCGTGCGCGGGGCGGGCAGGGGCGGCGCGCAGGCAGGCAGGGCGGATGGGCGACGCGGCAGGCTGGGGCAGCCCGCACGGGCGACGCGACGGGCAGGGCGGACGGGCGACGCGACGGGCTGGGACAGCCCGTACGGGCGACGCGACGGGCAGGCAGGGTGAACGGGTGACGCGACGACTGGGGCAGCCTGCACGGGCAACGCGACGAGCAGGCAGGGCGAACGGGCGATGCGGCGGGCTGGAGTAGCCCGGACGGGCGAAGCGACGCGAGGCAGGGCAGAACGTGCGTGGGGCAGCGCAACGCGGGGCAGGGCACGGCGTGCGGGGAACAGCGCAACGCGGGGCAGGGCAGGGCGTGCGCGGGGCAGCGCAACGCGGGGCTGCCGAGGCGGTGCGCGAGCAGCGAGGGCGGCGCACGGGGAGCAGCAAGCAGCACGAAGGCTGCAGGATGGCGCGCGCAGCGCAGCACGTCACGGAGGCTTGGCAGGGCGCGCGCAGGCGGCGCAGTGCAGACAAGGCAGGGCACGCGCATGCGGCGCAGCGCAGGCAAGACGTGGGGTAGCTCAGTAACCACAACGGTAGGTGGGCCCGAAAAAAAAAAAAAAAAAAAAAAAAAAAAAAAAAAAAACGGTCCTACGGACCTACTGCTCTGAAACCATGTCAGAATCTAGAGACAAGAATGAATGGACTAGAAGAAAGTTGGGTATAAGTATGAAACCTTAAAGGGGCTATACCCCATATTGGCTACCCCACTACAGCCTGCACATACATTATACATATATAATTTGACAATTAATTTTATTTGGCAAGGGATTAGTAGGGAACAAATTGAACATGACAACAAACGCTACCCATGATAAAACACCCCAGGCCGACAGCAGATCATAGTGATACCTTACTGCAAATGATTTTCATAAGCTACACTGTGCAAACTCTGTGTTGCACGGTTACTGACAGCGTAGTACATGTATGGGAGCTAGCTCATAACGCGTAATCAATTCTCATCCGAGCGGAGATGATGATGAGTTGTAGGCAGGGCAATCACGGTCAGTCACCTTTCGTCTTCACTGCGACAACCAGAGCGCGATTCGCATCGCGAACAAACCTGGTTTCGTCAACCGCACCAAACACATCGCGCTGCGGTATTTCTTTGTGAAGGACGAAGTGGACAAGGGCAAGGTTGACTTGACCTATTGCCCGACCAGGGTCCTCGCTAGGATGTCTGATGCATCAGACGGGTCCCCCGGGCAAAAAAAAACTTTTGTCTGATTCTGACTGGCCCATCAGATTAATCCAAAAAGATCCGTCTGGAAACCAATACAAACAGACAAAAATGTCTGATGTCGAGGACTGTCACGCAATTAATAAAGGCATCACAAATTAGATAGAAATAAGGAACCTTGATACAATTGTGTGACAGGGTGGTGTAGAATATCTTGTAGCGAGCACACGAGGTCGGCGGGAAGGACCAAAAGGGCAACGGCCCTTGTAGCGGGAAAACCGAAAGTAGGCACAGTCAAGAAGCAACAGTAGCATCAAGAATGATACTTAGGGACGCAGAGAGCCGTATGGCCTCTGCTTGCTTGTATGTTTTCTCAATTAGCTAAACATCTTTCCAAACCCTAGTTAGAGAAGCCAGTTCAAGCAAGAGTCAGCCGAGCTAGTCAGTGAGTGACGAGAGTGTCCCAGAGCACATTCATTACATACAAGCAAGTATTAACGACGACGTGCTGCTTCGATCCGGTTTTAGTTACCAGAGGCGAACGATGGAGACGCCGCAGGCCACGTTGGGCTGGAGGGCGCATGCGAACAGTATTCCGTCGGCAGATCGAAGTACCACGGCATCGCATCAAAGCGACTCACCCCGCTACCGGACGCCTCACCAGCGAGAACGCGACGGCGTTAGAAGAGAAGAAGAAGGCAAGCGAGCGCCAGCCTCCGACCCAGGAACGATACCACCAGAGGCTACATGGGTACGGGCGGCGCAGGCGTGTTGGAATGCGAGAACAGACCGGGAGTCACCGACGCGCATGCCGGGCATGCAAGCGAACGACCCGAGCCAGCTGCAGACGGAGAACACTCGGGGTCGCCGAGCCGAGCCAAGTGCGGCTGCGCCGAGAGAACTCATCACGAGCCAGCCGACTCTTGAAGTGCTGCGGGACGACCGGGA